GAGGAGGAGGCAAGCTGAAGACACTTGTCCTCTTAGATTGATTTACCTTCCTGCACAAAGCACTCAGTTGGTGCATATCCAAAATCATGTCGATAAGAAGTGCTTTTACTTACGTCGGTTGCTGAAGAAAGCGTTTCGTCGTTCCCCTCTTTCACTGATCACCAGGTATCTTATCGATGAAGGTCGCTACTGTCTTCTATTACAGAATAGGCTTGAAATGAGCAGAGGATTTCTCTGCCACTATCAGCTTCATCACCTAGTCAGCACTGATAGTATGCAATTGTTCGTTTGTATTTTTGAAACCAGAGATGCAACTTGGCATGATCCCAAAACTGCTTAAGTGAATTGTTTGAATTGGAGTCATAGGAGATTGAGCGTTTAGAAAAGAATATTTCCTTCTTCAATGCAGTAACCGGTGCCTCCGCAAAACTATTGAAAAGCTGCTAGTACGAACGACAGTACAAACGGAAACGTTTTGCTTATGCAACAGCGTTTCAGTTGAGTTTTGTAACAATTGAGCTGATGGTGTAGTTTTCTAAATGCTGTTGATTCTTTGTGGCTCTCTTGTTCGTTTTAATTCATGATTCATTCATCTTCCTTGACCGCTTCTCCTTGCGGGTCGCGGAGGCAGTGCTTCCAGCGTTCCTGATTCTGTACCAGAGCCTGAGCTTCGGCGGAGGACAGCTCAAATCTGAAACACATTACTTTCAAATATTTGAATCAAGTTATTCTTGTCGTCCCCTAGGCCTTTTGCCGGTTAGTTGGGCAAGAAATAGTTTTTTTGTCTTCCTTTTTGGAAGCATTCGCAACACGTGCCAGTACCCAAACCATCACAGCTGTGACTTCACAACGTGAAGAAGCAGAGGCGGTACACCAAGGCTTTCACGGATGTCTGTTTTTCGGACCAAGTCGAGACCGTAAGGCCGGCGACTCGTATCTGCAAGTCCATTTCAGCTGCTTGTACCCGTGTTCGAAGTTTCTCAGTCATGGTCCACGACTCGATGGGATAAAGATCGACCTGAATACAGAAAGCTTAGTTTTCGGATCCAGCTCTGCTTTAGTCTCAGCGGTTCAGACTAGTTCACGCGGAACGCCACTGGTTACTCCAATTCGCCGGTCGATCTTTTCCTCCAATTTTCCATCACTAGTAAATACAGTACCGAGGTACTTGAACTTCTCCACCTGCTTCTCTGCCTCTCCGTTAATTTGAAGAAAGCAACGGACAGAACAACGAAAAAGCACTAGTCATTTCGTTTTAGATGTCTTCACATGCATGCCTGTCACGTCGTACTCGGCTGCGAACCTTTCCAGGGAGCACTGTAGATCAGTTTCAGAAGATGCCAATAAAACTAGTCGTCCGAAATCAGCAACCTTCTCGCCTTCACATCTCCTACACCGATACACTCATCGCTTTAGCTGCTTCTGACTCTTCTATCCATGTACAACAAAAACAGGAGAGATGACAGGACGCAGCCTTGGCGGAGACCAGTGTCAACGTTCAAAGGCTTCTACCTAACACCATTTGCTTTTACGCAGCACCTGCTCTCGTAGTACAGTGATTTAATGGCCCGTTGACCACAGACTGTTGTGTAGGATCTAGTCATAGGCTTTTTCTAGATCAACAAATCACTTGTACACCGGATTGGCGAACTTCCACGATTTCTCAGCAATCTGGCGCGGGACAAATATGTGGTCAGAGGTGCTTCGACCGGGCCGGAAGCCACACTGCT